AGAAATAGTTATTATTCAATAAAATATGTTGTTCTATTTAATGACCAATAAGTTGACGTCAGGGGAAGTAGACCATAGAATGATCTGTCTAGTGAATAAATTATATCATTTTCACCATAACTGATTACGCATAAATAGGTGAGACGAGTACTATTTTAATTTGCATTTATTAAAGACCATTTTAGTGATATTTAAATACTTCAAATGTGCAGGCGAAAATTGGAGACAATATACCAACAGCTTAGTTTAGTAGAGAGAGTAAGCGAAATAATTTGGTGCGACTATGAACATTTACGAGTATGTATCTAGGGCTGGCTCAATGACAAATTATTAATAAATCAATGGACAAAAATACTAAGAAACAAAATAACAATGATAATTTTACAAAGAGCTGCGAATATGTCACATTATCAACACAATTATTAATTTTAAGATTCCTCTTCTCAAAGAACAATCAAGTGTAGCAAATTCCGAATATAGCGTTTGAATTCGAATGCTAAAATTAGTTGGAAAATCCTAATATCGAGCTGGTTGGTGAATACAGAGTCTCAAGATAACACGGAAAGTTAAAACATGTATCAATCATATGGTGATACATAAAGGATAAACATTTTGTGTTCAGCATGCATCGAATGAAGTTTCAAAAGAGCCCATTGAAATTTCCAAGGTGCAAAACAAAAAAGTCAAAAAACTATCAACAACGATGACAACAAGCATTCAATGTCCTTTCTTTAGTTTACCATACAGTTGTTTGCCTCAAACCATATTCATACATCCCTTTCTTAGTGTAGAGAGGCTACTGGAAAGTACTCACATTATTTCTTCTAATTCGCTAGCACATATTACAGAAAGGTCAACTAATAACAAGAAGTCCACGCTTATCCTAATACAACTATTCTCACACATTTTTCGCTTAACTTTCTACTTTCCAACATGTTCAGAATTTGCTGCTGTAACAAGATTGTGTGTAAGTCATAGAAAACGACAACATAAACAGAATCACACAAAACAAATAAAAACATTGAAATGACTAAGTCTTGCTTTTAAGATTCATGCTGAACAACAATATCAACAACAAATCATACAAAGATGAGCAGAAAAGATAAGAACAATTTGTGAATTTTTACTATTCAATAAAATTCAATAAACAATATATTCTGATATTCTAACTAATATGATTAGAGATTTATTATTCGAAACACATTAGAGTTGTATGAACTAATATAAAATTCATATCCGTTTGCGTAGTACCAAAACTATAACCTCTTACATTGACTGCACAATGGTCACATTAATAATACAGTTGTTTCTTAACAAAACAAGTAGACAATGTAAACATATACTTATTTTAGTCGGATGAAAATAAATATAAATTTTTAGAAATAAGGTGGTTCAGTAAGCTGAAATCTCAGTATTATGCGAGATTGGCTGAAGCAACCTAATTATGCATATTGATTATTCTGTATGTGAATTCCAGCTAATTTACATCAACTGAATAGCAACGTTTATCTACACAACCATCCGAAATGAATGTAATACCTGTATTAATTGTGATCATTTCAGTTGTGAAGCGTAATTTTGTACCAACACTAGCAATCAGTGCTCATATCTTGGTAAGCAAATAACAAGAAAAACCAGCTTTAGACTAAATTTGAACATTTTTTATTACACAGCTATGGAGATTATTGAGTTTCAATGAAATAATGAATCGATTGTGGTTAGAACACAATTAAAAACCTGAAAGGACCCGACGGCCGTTTCGTTCTAGTATGGGACTCTATCATGAAAAATCATAAAATTTGCTCACTAGTGACTAGCTTCGTGACGAAATTTTCGGAGTTCTAGTGAGAAGCTGTGGCCAGTAGAGTTCAACCATGTCAGGTGTAAAAGCAGTAACTATCGCGGAAAACGGTGAGATTGCGCAAAGCAGTGATTGATCAAAATAAGACATTAACACCGTTGGATGCTGGCTCGTTGGTCCAAAGGTCAAGAGAGACCGAAGATCCCGGGTTCGACTTCCGAGAAGTGGTCATGGGTGCGCACTACTGATGAGTCCCATACTAGGAGGAAACGGCCATCCAGTGCTTCCAGGTTTCTACTGGTAGTCTAACAATAATTGATTCATTTGGACGGGATAAATGATCAGATATATCATTTGATTTACATAGTTCCTTTTATTTTATAATTAGGTTATGATAATAGTCCATCTAATTCTATTTTAGACATTGTACTAAGTTCCTTTTAGTTACCCCGAATATAATGAGCGTGGGTTTTTGAAAAAGGAAACAGTCTATGATTTGGATATATTTAACATAAGCATAACTAATAATTGAGATTTAGTATGATCAAACAACAGTTTCCAAAAATTATAAGCTTAAATTACTGAGGGTTTATTGAGTCCAAGTACAAAGAGAACAACCAATAGTTATATTCTGTTTAAGCTATGCCAGTTCATTGTGATACTATGAAAAATTTATTAGAATTTCCCACCGTAATATCTGATTTTTATTCAGTATTTATTTTATAAATGTATATTGAAAGACTATTTCACTTGAATATTCTCCAAATCATCTGCAAAATCAAAAATTTGGCATCTTAAATAAGCATCTTCAGTTCACTCATTCACCAACTGTTTTAACACCTAGTCATTTTTGTAAGGGATAGTTATCTTGAGTTCTACTCACATTTTATTTTATTGATTGCTGAATGTTTTTGGGTAAAAAGTGTCATGATCTATGACACTAGGTATGTTACAGTTTGCAACTTTATTATCAAAGAAAACAGATTAGAATGTTAAGCTACGCTGAAACAAGTGTTAAAAACGGTACAAGTATGACTAAACAACTGGTTGAATTTTAAGAACATTCAGTAAAACGAGAAACAAATACCTTTGTATAGCCTTAATTATAAAAAAAATTATTCATCATTATAGAATAAAACAAAGTGTAATCTTGAACTGTTAACTTTCATAATCGATAATGATGTGGGGACTCTTAAAAATACTCCGAATTCTTAGTAGTTCGAGATGGATGAACCTTATCTATACGGACGAATGTGGATGTTAGTGTTTCTTTTTACGCACAGATAAAGAAACCTCTAGAATAATAATTCAATAAATGTATTAATTACGTAAAATCTTTACAGCATTATTTCTCGTCGTAAACTATTTACCAGCAAAGAATGTTTTCTAACTAGCTAACAATCGATTACAATCGGTCGTTGTCATTTGAAGAATTATTAAAGCTTGTCCTCATATTATTATCAGATGCAAGAGCACTTTTTTATTCAGCTTACATAGAACTGCGTTTTAGTCATAATTACAAAACATAAAACGAATACCGAAACTGATATGACAAACGAATATGTACCACTGCTAATTTAAACATTATAAGTACAAATATTAGAGAGAAAAGTGATATTTTCATTAAACATTGATAACTTTTAAAAGACGAGGGTATAAATAATTTCTTCATCTTTGTAAAGTAATCGTTTTAAGATAAAACAAGGAGATTGAAAAAACGGAAAGAATAAAAATCTCATTGAATGTTCTATGATACTAAATATTATCTAAGAAATAAATCATATTAAGTCGATTGAGTATTATGTGCATAAACTTTAGCCTCGATTTCACTGTTTAAATTCAGTTAATCTAGGTTCGTGTTTATGAACGAACTATCACAACTAGTAGCAGTTTGATCAACCTACTAGACATAGTACTTTATTAAATTAGTTGTCATGTTAAAACGAATGTACATAAAAACTCAAAGTTAGCAATGTTACACAAAAAACTCGACAGTAAAATAACGAATGAAGAGATCCCAATAAATCCTGAGAGAGCATAGATAAAGAAAATTAACAAAAACGGATTAATACTATGATGAGAGAGATACATGTAAAAATGGGAAATCATAGAATGACTATGTCCATTTGATCCACTATGCGTGATGATTTTGATAATTGAGATATAATTTACGATCAAGCAAGTCAGTGTTTCTTTAGAAACTTTAAACCAACAACCATTAACCGCACATATATGTCTACCGACCCGTAAACACTTTCTCAACTAACCGACATATCAGTCAGCATTGTAATCTTGCATAGCAAAAATTTCGGATTAACACAGAAATATACCTTATAAGTGCTAAAAGAAAAAGCCTAAGGACTTCACCAAAGCGATCACAGAGCATCAATATATATATGATGAAATGATATCTTCCTACAAATGTATGTTCAAATATGTGTGGTTGTTGTAACGCTTGTTGTAATGCTTAGATATTTTCTAGCTAAATCCTATTGCTTAGTATTCTCTGACCACAAAACACTGGACAAGTTCCCAAGAATCAAAAACACGGTTGAGCAGGAAAAGATTATATTCCAAATAACAAGGTTAAATGGAAATAAGAAGCCAGAGGTGATGGCGAAGGCGAAGGCAAAGAAGGCAAAAATAGATATAACGCTAGTCTATTTATAGCATTTACATGAGAAAGCTTCTGGATAGAAATTCACGTGATCGACTAGATTAGATTTAACCAATCAGCACGCAGCTAACAGTACGAGAATCTTCTACCCTGTTCTCCAAGATTCGATCAGCCGCTGATTGGATAGGAAAATAGCCAATCAGCGCGTAGCAACGTAGCCATGCTTTAATTCCATCTATGTCCCACTAACATTAGTCTATGGTTCATTTTATTCTATAAAGCTAGCTGAGTCAATGGCTTTTGGAACATACAGAATCACCATAACAAATGGCGTTCAATTCTACATATAGATCTATGGACCTAGAGATTACAATGTTCTGCAAGGAAGCTTTTGGATGATTATGAATTTTTAACAAAGTATGGAATCTATTGTAACCCCAAGATTAAAATCTTGCTTCTACAAAAGTAGTGTGGGGAAAAGTTATTCAACCATGAGATCAACTATTACGGATAGTTTACTTAAAGCCGTAAGGCAAAGGATTAGTAAAGTAGTCCACGCTAAAATCTAGAAATAAAACTCACTTGGCTTTAACGTTTTTACAGCAACAATTGTTGTTTTATTCCATACAGCTTTAAATACTTCACCGAATTGACCTTGTCCAATCTTTTCCTTCAAAATAATTGAGGATTTTGGAATTTCCCATTTATCAATGAGTTTATGTGAAAGACCCACAGGCTCTGGATGAGTTGGCTAACCAAATAAGGGATAAAAGATAATTAACCGTAAGTAATCACCAAAATGAATAGAGAAATATATTAGCATTCTATTAACAAAATTTACACCGTATGTACGATAGAAAAAGTTATCTACTTTTGAAGCCCATTGTTTAATGAAAATATAAATAGCACATAATGAATGAGCGGATTATTTTCCATGAAATAACAATGAATAGACGGAAGTACATATGGAATTTGAGTATTCTCTCGATATTTTAAAAATTATAAAAAGCTATGGAATAGTATAAAAAGCCTCACAGAGCAATTAAATCTGTTATGAGAAAAATCAGTCATTGATTAATAGTTTTTATTTACTAATTTTCATTTATATTTGCTTCATCCCATTAGGTATATTTCTTGTATTTAAAAATTCTATAACCTGTGAACTGGTAATCAACCTGTTCAGTGGTTTACATATTCATTTGAAGAAAACAAGTTGACCTTTAAATAAACTCATAAACACCATTATATACAGGTCAAATTCGGTTAGTAAGGTCACAACGGGTCTGCAAGTTACGACAAGTTTCCTCTTTTACTTTATTTCAATACGGAATACGACAGAAATACACTATTAAAAGAAAATTCGTATGACCAAGGTTTGTAGTTCAAATGTGAAAACCCAAGTATGTGTGTGTTAAATGAAATCAATGAGAAATAATTTCTACCACGATTAGTGAAAACTATGTATTTAACACGGAAAAAATGTGAATCAATTAAAACGTCCTTATCCATGATTCATATCGTTCAGAAGAATGAACTAAATTTTTGTGGGTCAACAAAACAATAGAGAGAAATAGGGAAATACAGCCAACTTTCATTTGTGTGCGGAAAAGAATACACATGTATGATAAGCAAAATGTGTGTCCATAAATAAGTAACCAATTAGTCTTTCCAAATTTAGTTTTAACATCACTTATCCAAACCATAAGCAATAAATCTAAGCACGTTATTAATAATAATAATTTATTAATTACAGTTGCATGTACTCGGTGATGAACCACGCCTATTACATGAAATAAATTATGCATCTATGCATAGTACTCTAGAAAATTTGAGGTTGTGAACCGCTGGACTAGAATACAAATTCAAGCAAAAGTGATTGTTGGAAAGAGAAAATACATACGGATTAGCATCAACCAATGCCAGGTGATAAAAGATTAATAAGAACCAAATGAGTAAAATTCAAAACACCATGAACCCTTGACAGCGTTTCGAGAGAGAATGGACTCTTCTCACTCTTGGCTGTACCACGGCATTTGAGGGCAGCTTAGGATATGAACAGAAATTAGGACTAAATCTTATGGAGAAACGCAAGCAAAAACAAAAAAGGTGAACACTGAAAAATTGAACCATGTACGTTTTCGAAACTGTACAACAAGGGTAGTGGTCACTTCAGAGTCTATCAAAACAGCACTTATTATTCTAAACGATGGAGTTATATCTTTTGAATATTAAACATTGAGTTATAAAGTCAGAACACCACTTCATATATTTCTATGTTGGCAAGTAGAATCACTAGTAGGCGCTGAGAAAACGAGTCTGAACAAGGATAGTGAGATATAATAATTTATATTAAGCATATAGACAAGTCATAAACTACCCTACAGACTTTATTTTAAAATGATCCTAGAGTAAGAATCCACATTTTGCCTCCAGAAAGTTAACCTTAGTTCCAAAGTCATATATATATATATATATAGTTTATCTATAGGATAATCTGATTGTTTACAGAAAATAATGATTAAAAACAATTAACAATATAGGGCACTAATTATTAACAAGGATCTAACTTACTCGAATACACGGTTTTCCTAAACGACAACATAAGCCAGATTGATTCTCTAAATAATGATTGATTAACTGTTGAATATTCACAAAAGGCAGTTGTCTTGAAATGTAGAAACGTTTCAATGAAGGATCAGTTCGTGAATACCTTGATCGAATACGATAATGTTTAACAGTATTCTCTTCTCGTACTGAAAATAAGACAAAAATAAGAAAACTATGGAGCGAAGGCACCAAAAAAAATTTGCAGTTTACATTTTACCTGTTAATTTTTTGATAATAGTCTCTGTATAACGGTTACATTTGTAATTTCTGATTGAAATAAAGAACAGACGATATCTCGATATACAATGGACAATGTAGAGATAGATAAATATAAGATTTCCAATCAATATGAACAGAATAGACTGTGATAATTATATGACAGGCATTTAAAATATACATTTGTTTGCTTTTATCATAAGAGAAAGTGACAACAAAAACAGACAAAAATAAACCCGTACACAAGTTTCTAATTAGTGTTCATAAATGGCTTTCTATTAAATGGGTTTGTTAAAAATTTCAGTGATAGACTAAATGGTAACGCTAAATACATAATCTAAATTATGTAAATGCTTAAAAACAAGATTGTAAAAGTAATCATGAAACTGGATGAGTCAGCATAGAGCTGAATTAAGTGACTAATTCAAGTTGTTACACTTATAAACAGAGAAGATAGAAGATAGAGATTAATAAAAAAGAATAGGTTAAAATTTTAATTTAGTCAGTTACTGTCAACCCAGACCTGATACGGGTGAGCGTAGAGTAGACGAAGTTGTTACACTTTGTAACGACAGTACAGAAAGGAAATCAATAAAATGTGTGGTGATAGAAAGAAATTAATTTTCAACTGTTATGAAAATCTATATGTGAAAGATTATGAATCATATTCGATCGTAAAGACAATAAAAATAGTGAATAACTTGCGATGACTTTCAAGTACTATAAATTATTTGTATATATGACAGTGTTGGGGGGAATGATAATAAATCCATGCCTGTTAATTAGTCGCATACCTTTTTATCACTTTTTATAATCTAAATGTTTAGGTGTTAATTTATTTAGAGGTAAATCTTCCAATATATAGATATCACTATCTGGAATGTGAATTAAGGATTACAAGAACTAAAGGGATTCGTTTTTCAAGTACGAATTTCACCTAAACAACGAAAATCATATTCCGTGACAAAAACTGAATAATGAACTTGTTAGGTCAAAGGAGTTTATTTTATTTATAGTGTGAGATCGATCGACTGATTTTATGAGAAAATTATGTTCGAATGATGATTAATCAAAAGTTAACGATGAACCGGTATCAAAAGACAGAAAAAATGATTCATAAAATAAATCGTCTTTTACAAAAAAGTGACATACCAACACAAATAAAATATTCACTTAAAATATAAATACTTCTTCAACTCCAATTTCGTAAATCACAAAACGATAAATATGAGATCCTACAATGACGCTCCTTTATTCTCCAATCATATTACCTTAACTGTTATAATAATAATTATTGTATAAAATGTATGCACCTTAACTTAATTCATGCAATATTTTGCCCAATATAACAGTGACGGTGGGATCTAAACTTCTGAATGTCAGTGATAAGTAGAAATCATTCATCCAGTTCAAACAGTATCAATTCATTAGAAGTTAGTTAAAACTGAAGGGAATCTTATATGAGAATTCGTTAAATCAATCTGATTGTGAGATACAGTCTCAAATAAATAACGCAATTAACGATACTACTTGTAAACTTTAACTACGGAAGAATGGATGGACGATGAGGAAACATTCGACATAGAAAAAGCAGTAGATAAATTCGATTTTTTGGGTTCAGAAACAAGTCCCACTTTAACGCCACATGAAGTATTAAAGCAACAGAAGGTTGAAAATTCAAGAAATGAGTACATTAGTCATCGACTAGACAGAAGCCTAATGAACTCACACAAAGCTCAAGTCAGCAAACAAATCCACAATTTTTGAAATGTTGCATTTATTGACCGACAGTAGCTGTTACCTTGACGTGGTGGTCAGGCTTGCCTATCGTGATGACCCGGACAAGACATACTGGCTGGGATGAATGTTCCTGAAGGTTCTACCATAACCAAGAAGTTCAACTGGAGAACAACGAGCTAAAACCGACTACTCAAGATCTGAGGACGAAGTCGTACTGCTGACTGCAGTAAGTTGTTTACCTTGGACAACCAGCATCTGTAGCGATGCTACCTTCTCAAAAGGAAGGAAAGGATTAAAAAACGTCGACACTAAAAATGTCACACCTCACCCTACCTCACGGATTTCCGTCTCCAGAGGTAAGGCCTTTTTAAAAAGAGCGTAGCCATGTGTGACCGGCCTTAAGCAGTTGTCCCTTGGGTTCTTTGGTCACGCTCCCAGGTCTCTAAGACCGACACTAATCTACCTTCCTTTACAGGTTCCGCAAGAAACACCCTTCCACGATGTGGGCAGCCGGGAAGTGACTTCGATAACAGCATTTGACTCGTAAGAAGATAAACTAAACATTATTCGGTCACATAAATATCATTCAATGACCAGAAGGAGCCTTCAAATTAAAAAAGCGTCTTTTACTGCCTACAGAAGTAGACACCCAGTAATATAAGTATATGCGGATTAGTGAGGAACTCTAGAGGAATAATGTTCATGCTGTTCTATTAAATAATCTGTGCAGAAGTATGTTACAACCATAGAAGACGATTCATTTTGCAGACCAGTTATTAAGTCTATTGATACCCGCTTATTGTTGATTACAGTGCGCTATTTGGGATCTGAATAATAATTACTCTGTTACAATAAGCTAGATGATCGATAGCACAATTTACAATCATATAATTACTTGTCCATTATAACAACTATATCATACAATATATCCGCAGTCTAGATACAGTAAGCTTACTACTGACAAGCTGAACAGTTCAGTCTGGACAATAAATGTAATAATTAACCAATTTATCCTATGACAAATACATCCACAAAATTAGTTTAGGCCCATTTATTTACATACTAACGAGCCTAGAATGAAATGTTGAAAAAACTAGATAAATGTCAATAATGACGAATCGTCTTATTTCGAAGCACAAATAGATGATTTCGGCGCTCAGTTAGTAATTACTGAATTGCAAGATGGAATTATGCCTGGTTTTATGTTATTTGACAACTGCATAGCATTGCATTAGCCAGGATTTACCCGGGAGGAAAACTGCTAATACTGTTTAAAACAACATGTTCAATAATTCAAAGGTTGGCAAGTAACCGTTTCATGTTACTCCCAACTGTATCTATAAATTTACCTGTACCTGTTAAAGCATCTAAATTGGTCATTAAAAGGTGTACCAGAGAAGTACATTAACCTTATACAAGCTCTCTACTCGAACACTACAGGTCAAGTGAGAGCTTATAGAGAACTGTCTTCTGAATTCTTTACATCAAGTGGTGTGCGCCAGGGATGTCCACTCTCCCTATTCTTGTTCAGTTTTGTCATAGACATGCTACTAGGTACAACATTATTTTCATCTGACTTTTCAGGAGTAGACCTTCTACTAGGAGGCTCGCTTATTGACTTAGAATATGCCGATGACATAGTTTTATTTGGTGAAGACGCTGACAAAATGCGGTGTCTTTTTACTACCCTGAGCAACAATGCAGGCATGTTCGGGATGCGGTTTCCCCCCTCGAAATGTAAAATGTTGCTTCAAGATTGGGTCGCATCGGACAGAAAACATGGCCAGTCAGAGCAGAAGATATTCTTAGGTTACTTGTTTTCAATCATAGGTGTCTCCGTAGCATTGCTCGAGTATCGTGGGACAACCGAGTAAGCAACACTGTCGTTAGGAAACGGGTGCTAGGTAAGGATGGCGGGTCAATAGGTGTGGAGTATTGAAACTTCATCAGTTGAGGTGGTTGACATGTGTTACGAATGCCTAACCACCTCGAACAGGGATGTTTTGTGGTGTAGGAGTAGGTTGGTAGAAAGCTAAGTGCGGCCAAACCAAAACATGGCAGAAATCCGTGAAGTCACTGACAAGTGGACTGAGTCATGTTAGTATGTGTAGGCTACCTAGTTGGGGTCCGCGAGATAATAATAATCGATGGCTAGAGACACAGAATGACATGGCTCATAACCGTTTGCAATGGCGCCGGTGCATTTACTCTTTGAGTTCTATGAAATTCTAACCTTCCGAATTAATCATCACCTCCATCTTTCTCTTTCTAAATTTATCTCACTGAATTATACTTCTCGAACCATATCTTCGAGTCCTAATTTCTCCGATTACTGATAATACTTTTACTACCTATACTACTATGGGATTTGAATTGACATTTATATCTCTGTGCTAACGTGGTATGGCAACTTGAACTGCTGTACTCACGTGCAAAGTTCTACGTTGCTGTTGATGATGAGCTACATCGGCCGAACAGAAAAGAGAGCATACCCCAGATTTTTTGAACATTTTCTTAAGAGCCATTAAACAAAAGGTTTACTTTGAATAGTGCAATCACCAAACATATCTAGGATACAAGACCAGGTTGATAACTTGTAATCTCTCAAAAAGAATAATAACAACCAAGCTCAAGTCTTCTAAAGTTTGTTTGTTTATTTGATAACAGGCACCTGAAATCCGATTTATGTGTTCAAAAACAGATGTTGTTAATCTTTCTTCACCATGGTGATAAATATTGCTTCATTACATCATTATACTTTATTTAGCTCTTTCTTTTAACCAATTACACCATTACTTTTTAGTTTGACTGTCATCTAGACTAGTTAACTTATTTTGCGCTCACTTACTAGCTTCTGTTTATTACGGAACCACTTGTTTTCAGCCCCTTAGAATTTCATTATTTTTAATATTTTATTCAGTCTGTTGAAATCACTTACACTGTTGTTATACTATACTGATGTATGGCCATAGCAACTTCCAACTAAACTCTTTCATGTAAATAATTTAAATCCAATTTGTGATTATCATTTTAAATAGTACAGATTGTAAGCAGCTGACGAGAACCAAAAGAGATAAAATGAATTCATCTTACTCAATCCAAATCTTCGTTCCTGCTTTCGCCAAGATGATAAAAGGAACTATATGTATGAGATTTCCAATCTATCTTATGTGTAGAAGTACATCGAAATCCTGAAGATCAATAAAAGATTTTCTACCGAATATTACTTACTACACATAATAAAAATGCGATAACGAAGATAATTATTAGTTTCTAGCATTATTACACTCGGCAGAATCAATCACATAGTCTTAACCATCAAAGCTTAAAACCATACAACCGAATAAACTGCTGAAAATTGTACAAGATCAGATTATTGCTAATCTGTATTTTACTATGTATAAGGGTTTCTTCAAACTTCATTATCAATCTAGTAGATATCTATCACATTACTCGATCTAAGGTTATCCTATAATGTAGCTGATAACTAGAGTATAACTAAGCATAGATACTATTGACAGAGAATAAACAAGGTTATACTGTCTAAAATTAAAGTAAACACTGAAAGTCAATAAACTGTAAATGGACGCTAGAAAAATTAAGGTGTTTATGCTTTGTAAACAAATGAATGCACACTTTTAATATGATTGGCTAAAATCGATAAATCTTAATAAATTCACTTATTCAGTTAAAATAAAACTACAGTTAAAACTCTGTAAACACTTTTTTTTAATATTCTAAGTGATGCAGACAGCAAATAAGAACCATTTTTCATACAAATGTAATCGCCATCACCTTTTAAATGTTATAGACTAAATGACTACAAAATACGATGTGCATATTTATTTACATTTACACAATTATTTTTCGTATATGCAGGTTTAAACAACAATAACTGAACAAAGACAAAAAGTTCAGCCTATCACGCATATTGAGAATAAAAGACAGTAACAAATCCCAGCAATATATATATATATATATATATATATATATATATATATATATATATATATATATATATACATATATTCATGCTTCTAGGATAAAAACCTGTCCACCTTGTCATAAACACAGCGGTATAACGCTGTTATATTTTAACTAAGCACATTAGAAAATGTTTACACTTTTTAAACATCTTTCTATTAGCGGATGTTGGAAAAAGGACAAAATTTACTGCTCACCTTATCAAATGTAATACAAACAAGAAAGGCAACTAAGTACCGAATGAAACAATACCAATCTTCCATGAAACTTTTAAATTCGACTTATTACGCTAAATAAAAAAGGAGTACGAACCCATTCATATCCAAAGGAAGATGTATAGAATACATATGCTTTTTCGGTAACGGACTTTTTATCATGTGTTTAGTACATAACTGTTTATCTGGTTATCATTAGTAAGTTAAACATTGTAAGATACATGTTTTCTCATGGAATTCCTGTTAGCGAAGGTAGCAGCAAGATACGGCTAATTAAGTCAAGAGTTGAACCTTCGGACCTAATTAATTAATGGATAAATAAACTAAGTTTTATGATTGTCGAACTTCAACTATATGGCACATAATTACAAATGTAAATATCATTTAATATGTTATTAAGAAATACGATAGGCTCCTTTAAACATAGTGATGTAGCTACTTGGTGAAAAAATACATGGGAAACTCATTTCTTAAACAAATGATCACTAGTTCTGTTAGGTGATGACGACTAATTATTTAAAAATTCACCAATAGAAATCAGACAATCCATAAAGAGTAGGGATTTTTCAAGTAGAAGAGGAAATCTATAGGGACAGTATAGAGTCAATAGTATGATTAAATGAAAGTGAAAGTGATATTTCTGATATTTATAGGGTCAATAGAAAAGCTATAAAACTATTTTCATCAATAATTATTAAGGCAGTTGATTGTCACGAGCGAATAACTACAAAGTAAATAAAGCAAAGTGGCCGGGTGAATCATGCATATTATAGCGGTAGATACAAAACAAATAGTTTGAACATACAAATCATATAGTGAATAAACCAATCAGAGATACAGTGGAAGTTTGTCTGATATTTATGAACAATTTCAAATGACACTTTAATTCCCCTAATCAAAAGTTTGTATACATTTACTAAATTTACAATTAAGGAATAATTGAAGAATAAATGTAATTTCGCAAATAAATAATCCTAATATATATAGGATTAACAGTTAAAATGGAGTTTTTCGTAAATGTTTCTTGATAGTGAATAATCCTTGGAATTTCCTCATGAAATTACTACATTACTATATGTAATACTGAAGACAAGCAGGGTGCAGAAAATGGAAAAAAAATTATTTCATTAAAGATAGTTTTACTTAAGGAAGAGCGGTTAGTGCAAATGGAGATGACTAAAGATGAGTAGGACTAATGAACATCAGATGAATTGTGATACATGACTGTTGATTCAATTTTTTAAACAGTGACACGTAATCATTCGATTAAATCAAGAAAAATAGTCATTGATGAAAAGACGAAATTCGAGCATCATTGGGAATGTATATCAGATTTGGTGGGGCGGTGGGGTTAATTATTACAGTATTCAATGCTTGATTATTGATTTTCATGTTCGAACACAACTTCATGTACAATAATCCAAACAGTTAAGTAACATTACTAAGCTCAACTAGAATAAAGTGGGTTTGGTGCCTAGGATACACTAGGGCCTAACTGAAATGAAGATTGAAATATCTCAGACAGTAGGATACCACAGTCGTTCATTTAAATCAGATGGAATACTTCAAAGCAAGAACGTTTGTGTAGGGGTTTTCTGAAACATATGATTCAAAACGTTGATAATCACTTACGGATGACAAAATATGATCATCACCTTTTGAAATATACCTTCGATCACATATCACAAACATATATGCTCTGATGACAAAGACTATTAGAGGCCAGTAAATTTAAAGAGGTGTAATCTTTTATACTTTCAAAAAACAGAATGGGAATAAAACATCCCAAACTATAGTAGACTCTTCATTTATTCGGCATAGTAGTTTGAGTGACTGATATACGGGGTTTAGAGATTGAATATACATTGTCTCTTTTAGTGGATATGCAGAAAGTGACAGGAAAAACAACTTGTAATAGTACACATGATGTACTATCACATATAGCATTATGTAAATGCTAAAACCTATGAGAAACAAACATCTTGAAAACTACAAGCATTCAGTTCCTAATCCTATGTTTAAAGTCGCTAGTAAATGCTGCACTTGTAGCGAATAATCATCTTACACATGAGCCTCTTCAAATCTTACTTTTGATAGCCTAAAAAGGAGAATTTCAGTTGGTGAATTCAAAGCTCACCAGTTTTGTAGGGGAAATTCAGTTGTAAGACGCCAAATGTACAACATTTCTCCATAGATTCAATGGTTCTACTAAAAGCAACGGAAATCCAGTGGAGTCTTTTACAAAATTACAAGTGCTATTTCAGGTACGAAATACATATGATCATTAAGAAATCGAGTGTTCTCCAGTATATCAACATGTAAACATAGAAAATCACATTTTCCGAGCGGCGTCTTAGCCTGAGTATGATTCTTTTACTACATATCAATGAATATTCAATGCCGTTGAGTGTCAACATTGTACTAAATGTATTTCCAACCTCTAAAATCAAATTTTACGATATATTTCACCAAAATAAACCTAAAAAACTCTCATCAGTTATTGCCAAAACAGAATTTATGAACCTAGTCCATTTAATATAAAGCATGAACACAAAAATCATTTTAAAGATTTAGTCTACTCATAAATCAGTCATTTAGCTTAGCAGATAGAAGTAGCAACTTAGTAGCTTAAATAGTAGGTATACAGTCATGAGAACGTAAGTTTGAATCTCATATCATTTACTTTAGTTTGAGTAACTGAGTACCATTACTAGCTTTTACAAAAACAGGATGTACTGAAACAGAGTAGATACATCTTTACTTGCTTGAATGTATTACATTACCTAAAATTAGTCATCTAAAGCAAACATATTTTGTAATGAAATTGATTTCTGTTACCTTTAAAACAAAGTTAAAGTAACAAAACAAAGTACAGCGGATTGTTTTATTACACACTGATGTAAAACTAGTGGTTTTTTACCTGATAAAGAATATTCACTGGATTGAGATTCACTAATTCGAACCAAAAAAGAGCCTTGATCATTTCCCGGGAGTTGAAGATAATGTTCGGCTTCAATACGTTTCAACTCTCCAAAGTACCATCTACAATTCAAAAAGTGAGAGTATCACAAAGAAAACGGAACAACGAACACATTTAATATACTAAATAATTCGTCATTAAGAAGTTGTAACAAATTGGGTTTCTTTGATTGATAATGAGAAAATAAATTATTTTTTGCTGGTGAGAATAAGTAAACAGCCAACAATGAATGACTCATAAAAAATGTATTATTTATATGCGATATAACAGACGAAATAGTAAAATCCCAATAAATCATCACTTTGAAGAATATTTGACTGAGACGCCATCGATCCATACTATTCTGTTGATATCGAGCCAAAATAAATGAAGCTATTAAAAGTATTTGCACTGTTTACTACAATATAGTAAAATGAGAGTTCAATGTTTACCAGAAATAAAAAATATATTAGAACAGTACGTTTTGAACAATTTGGTCACATAAATACTTGTTAAATTACTGAATTTTTTAACATCCCTACTCACTACCAGATATCTGCTCGAGACGGGTCATAGGACTGATATCAAGTAAGCTTTGCTATGAAAGTCTCCAGGGATGTATATCAAGGCTTTTTGACGCCCTAACCAAACGAAGATCCAAACTTCTTTTATGTACTCAAGTTCATCTTTACTTTAAACCAATACTGGTAATATTGACTTTTTATTCTGTATGGTGCGACCGATATGCACTTTTTACCATCTTTGTCTTTTCCTATCTTCCAATTTATCTAGTTGACCTCTCACTTTTCAATTATATCCGAAGTATATATAGGATAAAATTAATCCAAACATATTGAACTAATATCATACGTAGTGCTGACAAACTTTATCTTCTCACTGCATTACTTAAATTTACCAGGCAAGTAGAAAGAGCTATAGCTTACTTAAAGCAAGGTAAAACAGCAGTTTCTAATGAACTAAACCCGGAGATTTGTGAGGATATTGGTAGTCAGTCAGTTAGTTTCAACGTAGACTTCGGTAGTGATAATGATAAATTTTTAGCTGTTAGACTGGCTAAGATAATAGCTAGAATCTGGAAAATGGAGATAATCTCATTTGACTGGTCGCAATCGCTAATCGTTCAGGTTTTTAGCAATAAACATACTCTAGTGACAACCAAGGAATAGTCAGTTCAACTAATAGTGTTCAGAATATAAACGTCCAGCGCTTACTTATGGTTCGTTAAAAGTAAATTTGGGCGAGGAAGTGTAAACCAAATATTGGCTCTTAACCAGGTTCTAGAATACAGGTACTGACTCCCGAGTTGTATGACTCAATCCAATGACAGCGTTTCACACCGCAGATCAACAGGTCTTACGATTGTCTGTCATTGAAAGGCGTAACAAAGAAGGAAGTCAACCTCGTACAGGCTCTCTATTCAAACACTACTGGTCGAGCTAGAGCTCATGGAGAACTACCATCGGAATCGCTAACTTCAAGTGATGTTCGTCGAGCTTGGCTGCTATTCTCATTTCATCCAGCTTTGTCAAAGACACTTTTAAAGACAACACTTATCATCCGGCTAATCAGGGATCGATCTACCACGAGATTTACACATTGATTTTGAAAGTGATGACATAATTCTGTTTGATGAAGGCGCTTGCGAAGTGAAATTTTTTGATCACCTTAAGCTACAGTGCTAACATGTTTGGGATGAGGTCCTCCCCAAATTATGTTTATCTTGAAGTCGCTGGAAACTAGGTAATACTTCACGGAAGATGTAAATTTCTGAAATGCTGGACAATAGTTCTTCTATGAGAAATGCGTGATTACTAATGAATGGTGGTTTGCTATTATTTACAATGACATATGGCAGTAGATATTTCACTGTTCCGAACATACAGAACTGATAAGATAAAAGAATAATTTTATGGAAAACTTTGTGCAAGACAGAACCAAGTGAATGGCTTATCCCACGACACAATATGAACAGGCTTAATTGAATGAAATACAATTATTTACTATGATTACCAACTGGTATTTTTTAACTTGCTTAAATCACAATTAAGATGTCATGCAAATTTAAGGGGACTATACCTGTTCAAACCTCACCACTGACAATTACACTTCCTTCATAAGACAACTTCAGTAAAATCACACAGATTAATAGAAAAGTTTTACCAGAACGTAAAGGTGAAAAGTTTGCTTACTCATTTGATTCTAGACTGGTAACAGCTGCTAAATGATTTTTGGGTACATAACCTCGATTACCGGTAGATACACATTCAGCATACCACCAATCGCAGTGTGAGTTGTCGAGTATATTAAATATTTGTCCCTTTGTCATATTCAAATCATCATCTACACGCTTAACATAATCATGCAAAGCGACAAACTGCCCTTCTGTAGATGTCTGAGAGGAATTATGTGATGGATTAATTCGTACATGCGCAACCGAATTGTTTTTAAAGTTGACAGGTTGCTGAGTTGTGGAAAAGTTTGTAGACTGCTGATTGTTAGGTAAACATGAGTTTCCGACAGATGATTTGTCACCAACAGTCATTGGGGCACCCACAAATTCATTTGTTCGTTTCATTCCTTTAGTCTGCTGAACAACATCCGGAACGTAATTAACATTATAGGGCTGATATCGTATTTGATCAAAGATTTGGGAGGAATCTGGCGCTATCGCTGCAGAGAGCATAGGACTGGATGTCTGACCATTATTAAATAAATTTTTAGAAGAAAAAACAGGTCGTTTATCTATGACAGACCGAAGTGATGGTTCAAACATGGGCGAAGAAGAATCATTCTAAAGTTAGGAATAAGTAGTGAAAAAACAGGTTCATGTTTATTTTTTATTTTAAGGCATTCGCTCTTTTACCTTTTATTCTAACTACGTGAAAAAAGGTTTAGATTGAAGTTGGAAGTAATCAGACAGTATTTGGGGACCCAAAGAGTAAGTAAATTATGTTTGTAGCATAAACGCTTTTGCATTGTGTTAACTGTCTGTTCTACGGACGTTAAAGAAGTTACGACCCAATGAAGCTGGCAGAATGGAAACTATCCGTATGTTAAAATGAGACAAATAAACGTAATCGTAGTTAGTAATTACAAACATCGTACTGGTATAGTGATTAATTCTCTAGAGCTAAAGCTTGCAGCCATAATTTTGATTAAATATACTTAACTATAACTGTGAGGCCGATTATGAATATTTATCATAAGACAAAACAAGAAAATACATTAACTAATAGTGAATGACCTTACTGACTGATATTTGGACTTAACCACCTAAAGCACTTTCCGACTTAATATTTTTTCCGTTGATATCATATACTTCAAGAGAGATTTGCATGAAAAATATACAGTTCAGTCACATCAGTGGATATTCTATGCGACCGAATGTTAATCTGCAATTTACTAGAATAAAAACTCCCGGAAGAGTCATGAAGGCTAGGTTACAAAAAGAACGTTTGACCATCTGATTTAGGCAAAACTAGCTAGATATTTAATGATGTATGAAGAGCATGTTTATCGGGAGTATCTTAGAGTCGGAAAAGGTCGATAACTCTGGCAAACTGAAATTAAAAGCCTAAGGACTGTGAATTTCAGTATTCGATACACGTCCAGAAAATCATTGATTTGGACTGCATGATATGCAGCGAAGACTAGACGATTCTGTGTATGTAAGTAAGAAAACCGCGATAAATGGAAAAGGCACTAAGGGTAATTAAGATACGACATATTTAAATTTATCGGAGAAATGGCTTACAGAGTCACTTGTCAGTGATCCACTCTTAAATCAGACTTCGAGAAAAAGTTCAACTGACTTTAAATCACTCCAGTTACCCATCATCTGAATGATTGACACCAGAACTGTCTTAAAGTACAGAAAGCTAGGTGATGTGAGGGATGGGATTAGAAACCCATGGGTTAATTCTAGAGATATTAAGGAACAGTGATTCACTATCTCTATTTAGATTAGCTAGTTTGGCAAATTAATTCATTTTCGCCAACCTAGTTTTGATCACTGATAGTCACAGTTTGTGAAGGACAGCAGTCTAGCTGCGATAACTGCAGAATGGTAGTTTTATGAACTGCTTTGAACAATGCATCATCCCCATTTAATTTCAGGACTGGTCTTTTTGGATACTCGAATCTTCAATGGTTTCACATTGAGATGGCTAGTGAATTTCATCTTTGAAGGGTTTTATAGAGCTATTACCTTTAATAGCCTGCTTTAGCAATGATGTAATCAAGTAATTGAAGAAAACATTCTGCTTCCAAGCATTAAATAGCGTATCGGGGAATAAACAGTAGGAATAGGTAATCAAAAACGCTGTAAACCTTGTTTCGAACTTATTAGGATCAAAGTACTAAAGCAGCACGAACAAAATCAATAGACTAACTAGCAGAACTGGAGTCGATTATCTAATTATGAAGCTGGCACAGCTTGCCGCTATTAGAGCAAAGCTTGGAGGTACACATTACAGACTTCTACATATCAAGCTTAATTTTTGAGTAGCATGTACGACGAACCTAAACTGTTATCAAGGTTTGCCAAAAAAAATAAAAGATTAACAGTTTACTTCAAATTTCCAAAGAAAAATGAAATCTAATCACTCCGGAAATGCCTGCGTATGCAAATTAGGAATGTCAAGTAAATTTAAGACTCATCTTATGGTACTTAACTATGAGAGCTTAATAATATATCCACACAACGTCAAGTGCACCTAGTTAATTATGACCCACATGGGTTAAGGCCTACTTCGGTTGTATCTTTCTACTTAGCTCGTAAAGTAAGATACTTTCTTATGAACCACAACAACTAATTACCAAATTGATTATAAATATATATATATATATATATATATATATATATATATATATATATATGAATAAATGAAATACTTTAACATTAGTTTTCAAAAGTTATCACAAAACTATCTTCATTGCAACATTCAGCTTTGGGTACTATACAAAAATTGGAAAGCTAATTTAGACCCCTTACACACAGTTCTGAAAAATCTTGACAGAATTAGCGGTATGCACCCAATACAAACAAAATCGCAAATTATGAGATGTAGCAAATTTATTTTAAGTTGACAGTTTATATAAGTTTGGCAATGACACTAAAAGAAATAATGCCACTGAATTACTTTCAATTTCGTATATTATATCTAAAACAGAGGCCGAAGTAAACTGGTAACCTGCAGTATATCTCCTCTAGACTTAGACTGAGGTGCCAGTCATTCACATATATGCTATGACTGGTTGTAATTTAGTGTTTGCGAAGGTTAGGACATGGATTCATTATCTACCAAGAAGTAATGAGTGAATATTAGAATTGGATGTTAAAGCAGGGATTAGAATGCAGTTTGACTGGGTACCTCAGCGTCATGCGCAAGTCTTTTGACTACCAATTATCTTGGATGAAATACTCAAAGCTTAAGCTACCGTTTCTATCATCATGATTCAAATGCTATACATCACTGTAACCTCAAATGCATCTAGTGCATTGGATTTAACTAGGTGTGACAGATGGACTTTAGTAAGCGCTTTTATTTCTTTGAACTAAGAAGCATTTTTTTTATAAACATATGCTAAAAATACATAATACTAACTACATTTGGATTGTTGTTGAAGATGACAAACTTTTTCAGTGACAATACTAACGCGGTTACCCGTACCTAATTAATATTGGCAACCATCTACGCGAACGAGTTAACAAACTGTTCCGAAAAATCTGTTTCTTGAATCATAACGAGCGTATACAATAACTTGGTTGCCGTAAGGAATTAAAAGCGGCAATCTAAGGTATCCAGGCTACAGTAGATTTGTATTTAAATATCTGTGATAACTTGGCTACTTAATGGTGTAGATATGCAGCTAGGAATAAGTTTTGGACATTTCCCCTGAACAGAGAATTTAGGAGGAAAGTTCGTAGTATTTGCTGTGAGATGGGGTACGGTTGACTATTTCATGCGTTTTCACCCATATTTATACCGATATTTCTGAATTTATCTAGTTCTCTACTTTGGTCTCTGGGATACACAGAATCTCAGAGGTTTAGTCTTAAGAGTTTTGTAGAATCTGTGAGCGTGCGAATCAAGATATGTCAACCTAAATGGTGAAACTGAGCGAGAAACAGCACGGGAAACCGGAAAACTTATTGAGAAAATGGATGTTTGATTTAAAAATTCCTGTAGAGCTATAAAACCGAGAAAAGTATGGTCAGAATAGTGAATAGAACTCTGTGTGCACTTATGTATTTCGCCTGGTTTGAACATATGGCCAAATTTGGCTGTGTCCAACTTTACAGTACTGTCAGCTTCAGTTATACAATGAATCATCATAACAAATACTTACAGCAGCAACCGTGATCCAGTTATTTTGATCATTGTTAGACGAATTTGAATTTCCCATGACTATCTAGTCCCATCGAGAAGTACAGGAAAAGATCTCGTCATCCTAATGTGCCTGTTTAATCCAGCGCGTCTACAAAGACGAACAACCTACGCGCATACTAAATTAAGCACTTTGGTTAGAACAAACAAGCTAGTTAGGATAGGTTGTGAAGCGATCCATTCTCATAGAATCGGAATACAATGTTCCAACAGAAGGTGCTGATACTACTACTTCTACAAAGATATTTACAAAAGTTCATGATGCGATTGAAGAAACAAGACTGCAAGCAGATTTGATTATCTCCTTCAAGAATCCTATGAGTGCCCTCTTATAGGATCAATACCATATGCGAAAACTAGCTTATTTCACTCACTCTTCAACATCACAACTATCATTCAAATATACTTTCTATCCTTCTCATACCTGACTTCTATTTTGACTTGGCATTCATTGACCTGGATCTGAAAGGTATTATGGTCAGAAGCGTTGTCAAACCCTAATTAACTGTAACAACCTCACATCTGTCTGTTTCCAGTAGCGCCGCATGAAAAACATATAGTATTTATTGATAATCAACTCTTGTCTTCTGTCATTATTTTTACTGTTTCAGGTATTTCGCTATGTTCAGATTTAGAAATCATTCGTCCTCAATTTCCTTCTTGGATATACATGATTTTAAGTGATTTGGTCCTGTGCTTCAGAAATTTTTAACTATAATCCTAAAATTCAAGGTTTTAGGAGTAATTTGTCATGATTTTTATCAGAACGACATATTTGAACTGACTGCCCGTAATGTAGAAAAAAACTTACAGCCAGAACCGAAATTCCGTCTTCTTATTACTTGGGTGTAATCTGTCATTCATGCTTTAAGAATAAACCTGAACAAAATTTAGAAGCGACAAGTAAGACTGAAGTATGAAGAACGGTAAATTCTAACTATGATAAAAAGGACTAAACAAAGATTTACATGTTGATACTCAACGAAATAATCGGCGGCGATTCGATGTGCAGACCAGGATATCATCGTAATATTAATCTGACGTCATCTTGGCTGAAAGCATAACATAAGGAGTTAGAAAACATAATTATTACAACCTCTAGTAATTTCCAAAAATTATATCTTGTTGGGCATTTGAAGGTGATGTCACTTGGATGCTCTTACTAGGCACACAATGAACCGAGAACGCTCGTTGATGTATTCACCTTAGATCAAACTTCCGTCTTCCGTGGACCGATTTGCTGCTGATAAATAGCCAGTTCGTAAGACATACGCATCGATACCTTAATCTGTTCTTCAGCTATAACCTTCCACCTAGTAATAATCGACTTTCTTCTAAAGTGTTCTAAACAATATTATTATTGCATTGATTAAACAATGCCGAAAGAAATGGTCTTATTACTCCTCAGCATCGACTGCGAATTCAATAGTCTAACTGGACGTGCCCCGTGTTGGAGGCGTTCGGATGAGCAACAGCATCAGATCACATATGTTCGAACTGTGTATCGTGTTTTTACTCACCGATTGTTCATCTGAGAATCATACGGATAATTCAGAAATCATTCGGTGGCATAATCTAGGATAATTTCAAAACGGTTTTCAGATAAATTATTGTAATCAAAGAGCGGATGTGATTGTAAGAGCTTTATGCCAAAAATACACACAGCTAATTTTGAGGAGAGAGATTAGTAGACTAATCATTATTTTTTAAAGAAGTTTTCTGGCTCATTATGCATCACTTAACTGTTTTATGAATAGTGATTCGCGCAATATTATGCCTTACATAGTTTGTTGTTATGGAATAATGATCTGGAGAAACATTCAGAATTTTTAAAAACTTAGGACGGATTCTTTAATGTTAGAAGTTCTGTTCCTTCCTTCGAGAAGTGAAATAACGGAGTTCCTCAGTAAACTAAATTATACTAATACTGGCTCAATGTTTTCTTACTCCCTTTCCTTAAAAGAAACACAAATCTCTTGTATCGAGTCCAGAGACGACTAACGGAATATGTGACAATGGTGAAGAATAAATGTTACGATGGTGGACTCTAGGACTTGAGACTATTCTATACCAGCTTCAGGACAACAAGAGGCGATCTAATAATCGGTGTGGGCAGCCGGGAAGTGACAACCGCCCTCATACCCGTAACAGCACGCGAGACCAAATTGGTCAAAATCAAATCCTTCCTACACCCCCTAATGTCTCTCTTATCTCTACGACTAACTCTACTCACACTCCCTTTTCTCACTGCACCGCTAATGCAGACGAAGCGAGATCACGAAACGTCGTTCCTGGTCTCTTGAAACCCCGTTCTAAACTACATGTTGGAGCTTTTAATGTACGGACATTGTGTCAAATAGGGCAACAGGCATCATTACATAGGACTTTAGAAACTCGTGCCATCGATGTATGCTGCGTCTCGGAAACGCGCATACAGGATCCTAGTAGAGTCACTAACCTGATTCCATCTTGTCAAAACGAAGAAGCAGCCAGATTCACTCTTCGTGTATCCGGTAGCCCTGATGCTGCTTCCAGGGGTCTTGCTGGCGTAGGCATAGCGTTGAGTCCTAGGGCAGAATTATCTCTCCTAGATTGGATCCCAGTAGATAGTCGTTTGTGCGCTGTCCGACTAAACGGGACGGTAAGGACTGGTAAGGATAGGGACACTCGCCGTTGCCTCTTCGTCATATCTGCCTATGCCCCCACTGACTGCAGTGCAGACGAGGTTAAGGATGAGTTTTACAGAAAGCTTTCGGACCTCCTCCAAAAAGCTGGGCGCTCTGATGTAGTATTTATGGCTGGTGACTTTAATGCACAAGTAGGTAGACTAAGTGAAAATGAAAGACACCTAGATGGATGTTATGGTGTCTCGGCTCAAAGAACAGACAATGGCGACCGTCTGTTGCAACTGTGCTCAGATAACCAACTATTTCTAGCAAACACTAATTTTAAGCATAAGGAAAAACACCTTTTGACCTGGCGACCCCCGAAGTCGTCTCAACGTTGGACACAACTAGATCATATCGCCATCAGCCACCGATGGAGGGGTTCGATAGAGGACTGTCGCTCGTTCTGGGGCACATGTTTGGATTCAGATCATGCTCTAGTGCGAGCTCGTATCTGTTTAAGGCTTACTGGACGTAGGAAAGACACCGTAAGGAAGCCTCTTAGGGTTTTACTTAATGATAATCAAACTAAGAAAATATTTCAGGAGGAACTAGAAAGAGAGTTAAGCACCGATGTAAGTGATTCCCATCCAAAAGCAGGTTGGTATGATATCAAAGAGGCTGTGGAAACAGCAGTGAAACCTGCTAGTAAGGTTGACCATAAGGCTAGAATGAAGCCGTGGATATCAGTCGCATCCACCGAACTGATGGATGCTCGAAAACTCATCCCACCTGACTCTGAACATGATGAAGAGCATAGTCGGCTTAGGCGCAGACTTATAAGAAGTCTACGTAACGACTGCGAACAGTGGTGGGTGGCGAAAGCAAAAGCGATGGAAAAGGCAGCGGCGATCGGCAACAGTAGACAACTTTTCCGCCTTATTAAAGAAACTGGTATTAAGAACCCGAATGTGAGTGAGACTATTTCGGAAAAGGATGGTCTTGTTATCCATTCTCAATCCAGGATGACTGGATCGATGGGCAGAACACTTTAGGGATCAGTTCAACTGGCCACGAGCCACTCTTCGGTTACCCACGATCTCCAGTCATCCTGAATGGCAAATCGACCTAAGTCCACCTAGTCTTAATGACGTTGAGAAAGCGGTAGGAAATCTGAAACGAGGACGAGCTGCAGGTCCTGAGAGATTGACCCCTGAGATATATGAGGATGATTGTCCAGTTTTATCAGCTATGTTGACTGAGATCTTAGGTAGAATCTGGGAACTGGACGCAATCCCATCCGACTGGTCTCAATCACTGATTGTCCCAATCTATAAGAAAGGACAAAAGTCTTCTTGTGACAATCACAGGGGAACAAGTCTAACTAATATAGTATCTAAAATATTGGCCTCAATAATACTTCGACGCTTAACGAAAGCTCGTGAAGAGCAGACTCGAGAAAACCAATCTGGTTTTCGACCTGGACGTGGTTGTATAGACCACATCTTCACACTACGACAGGTCCTGGAACATAGACACACATTTAGACGTCCTACAATAGTTGTTTTCCTGGACCTTAAGGCGGCATTTGACTCTGTTGATCGTGAGGTTCTGTGGCAGTGTCTGTCATTGAAAGGTGTACCAAAGAAGTACATTAACGTTATACAAGCCCTTTACTCGAACACCACTGGTCGAGTGAGGGCTTATGGCGAACTGTCACCGGAATTCTTCACTTCAAGTGGTGTCCGTCAGGGATGTCCACTTTCTCCATTTTTGTTTAATCTTATCATAGACATGCTCTTAGAAGTAACCTTATCCTCGTCTGAATTTTCAGGAGTAGACCTTTTACAAGGTGGCTCGTTTATTGACTTAGAATATGCCGATGACATTGTCCTACTTGGTGAAGATGGTGACAAAATGCAGCGTCTTCTGACTACCCTAAGCAACACTGCAAGCATGTTTGGGATGCGGTTTTCCCGCTCGAAATGCGAAATGTTGCTTCAAGATTGGGTTGCATCGGCACCTGAACTAGTGATAGGGAGTGAAGTAGTCGAGCGTGTAGACCACTTCACTTATCTTGGGAGTCTCATCAGTGCTGATGGCCTGGTGACTGACGCCATCTCAGCTCGGATACAGAAGGCTCGATTGGCTTTTGCCAACCTGCGTCACTTATGGCGTAGGCGTGATATCCGTTTGCTGACTAAAGGACGAGTGCACTGCGCAGTGGTTCGCCCCGTTTTACTTTATGGCTGTGAAACATGGCCAGTGAGAGTAGAAGATATTCGTAGGTTACTGGTTTTCGATCATAGGTGTCTTCGAAGCATTGCTCGTATACCGTGGGACAACCGAGTAAGCAATGCTGTCGTTAGGAAACGGGTGCTAGGCAAGGATGGAAGATCAATCAATGAAGTGGTGAAACTTCATCAGTTGAGGTGGTTGGGACATGTGTTGCGTATGCCCAACCACCGACTGCCTCGACGAACTTTGTTTTGTAGTGTAGGAATAGGTTGGAAGAAAGTTAGGGGCGGCCAAATGAAAACATGGCAGAAATCTATGAAGTCATTGACTAGTGGACTTAGCCATGTTGGTAATTGTCGACTACCTGGTTGGGGTCCGCGAGATGATAATAATCGATGGTTAGAGACCTTGAATGACATGGCTCAAAATCGTTCGCAATGGCGTCGGTGAATTTATTCTTTGTGTTCTCTCAAGCCCTAATCTTCTGGATTCTTCAACACCTCTGGTTTCGACTCTCTAAACTTTTCTCACTGAATGATACTTCTTCAATAGTATCTTCTAACCCTAACCTCTCCGATTACTTCTAATTCCCTTACTACCTCTACTACTATTAGATTTGAATTGACAATTATATCTCTGTGCTGTGGTATGGCGACATGAACTGATGTACTTATGTACGAAGTTCTACGTTGCATCTGACTCTGGTCTAATAATCGCGTACAATACATCAGGCATGCCGCGGAAAATTAACCATCAGAAAGCGAGCACCCAGCTGCTTGCACAGAATTCCTCTTTAAGAATTAGTGCAACTTGAAAAGCTTTCCTAGTTCACATGATCACAGTGTAAATGGATTTCTACGGTGGCAGTTCCAATGGGTTCCAATAGGTGCACTCCTGAACTCGTTTCTCCCAGTCCAAGTCCAGAAAAGGCTAAAATTCTAGGAGAAAACGGTCTTTATTAATAAAAATGGAAATACAAAGCAGTACCTGGAATTAATGCACCTTCCAGGTTACAATTACTCCGAAGAGTATCCGAAACAAAGATAATTAAGTGACGTTAAGTCCAACAGCTACTGTATCAATCCAAATATGGCTGTAGCCATATTAAAGATCAAATTTAAACAACATATATACAGATCAGAAACAAACACAAAAACTTCAATATAAGTACAAAATATAGAAATAATAACAATATACAATGATAAAATCTCAAATTGGAATCAAATAAAATACCAAAAATGTCAACAGAAAAAGTCCGTCATGTCATAACAAAAATATGTAAACATGGAGGGATTTTCCAAAACACAAAACATTCAAAAAGGATTCTACACACAGCCTCCTCAGTGGGTAGCTTCAAGAAGAGACACTAGTAAACATGTATTCGAATACGTATTATCATCTCCGTCGTCAACCAGCTTGTCATGATGCATGTTTCGAGAAACGCTAGTTTTAAACACAAAATACCATCAGGAGTAGTGGATAGCTCATCCCGCTTTGAAAAATAGATAGGGAATCTGCGTTTCAGATTAGCATTCCAACCTTTCCGTATAGCAATAATTATACATCCAAAGTTTCTACGAGTTTCTCTAATGAGATCTGGACGTTTCACTGGTAAAGGTTGCATCAACAAACAGTCTGAAGTATTAACAGGTTTATCTTGTAATGACTGTCGAGAAATGTAGTCTACATGTTGAATTCGCTTGATACTCCTGTGCTGAACCGTTTTCATACCTCCATTGCACTTAGCACACGTGGCTATCAAATCTTCAAGTAAAGCATCAGAATTTTCTTTAGAAACTAGGAAAGACAACTCCACTTTAAATCTTTTCAAATTCTTTAAACCCAGTATTGACAGTCCTGTTTCACTAACTAAAAATTCACAAGGTATGTATGAGGAATTATCATCTGTTATTAGCAATTCACAACATCCTCGTATAGGCAGTCTGTTTCCAGTAATCCCCAATATTGATACTTCATTGGGTCGAACCACAACGTTAGGATCTAACAATTTCAAGTTCTTGAATGAAATAATGGACTCTATACTGCCTATGTCCACAATAAAGTCATGACATGAATCAAGCGATGTATATAATCGCTTTTGAATATGAGCATTACCTTTCGAAATGGTAGACAAAGATAAATGATCATTACAAGATTTAGTACTACTTGAGGTAAAATGAACAGCAGCTTTGCATACTAGTTGAATGTGTCCTATCTTACCACATCTAAGACATTTAGCATTACGAAATGTACATGAATGACGAGAATGAAGTTTTCCACATGATAAACATTTGCCAAACTTGGTCTCACCTTTGTGATTTCCTTTGTAATTCTTTTGTGAGACACCGTTCATATTTACACGAGAATCGGAACCTCTGTTAAACGAACACAATTTTGATTGACCCTGAGATTGTTTTTCATCATGACAACTAATCAAAGTATTGGAAATCTTCATCGACTGAATATCAAGTTCATTCAACGCCTCGTAGTTAATGCACGCAGTTCTAACATCTTGAAAGGAACAGTTTGACATTCTTAACAGCTCTCTTTCCAAACTAGGTATGTTAATTTCCTGCAGTTGATCGGTCTCTCAGCTGCACATGAAGTTGATCACCGAAATTACATTTGACAGCTTGTTTCTGCAATTCAAGAATGAATTCCTTAAAATTTTGGTCATTTTGACGAATCATCTTATGAAATTTCGACCTTCCACGGCATTCAAAACCAGGGCACTTTACATGATTCAATAATAACTCCTCAAGCATTGCATAGGGAAGTGCGATAGGTTTTTCTGGATATGCCAAAGTTTTTAATAAGCTGTACGCTTCTTTTCCGATGAATGTTAGGAAATGAGCCACAATTTTATCATCTTTGACATCTTTCCTGGTCATACTCGAGATTTCAAACCTTTCCAAATAATCTTCAAAAGCTTCAGAAGTAGAATGAATATCTAACTGTTCCATTCCATCGCGACGCCAATATGATGATTAGAAGTATGTGAATCAAGAACTACGGGATAAGCACGAACGAATGTACTACATTTAGAATTCGAAATCAAGCATTCAACAACAACAAGAAGTCACTAGTTAGTTCAAACACCACACCCTACTACTTTGAAATAAACGTACTCATTCAAATCAATGGACCTACAAATTCACAAATAACTGCCAACCGAAATGAATTAGAGCAGTTAAGTGGCTGGACTACCATCCACTGGACACTGCCAGACACCTAGAATCTTACCAAAGGAACAAGAATCGAGCTCAAAGAAATCAGTTGGTTTATAGTAGCTCGCGAAAAAGATAATAAAGATATTGGATATTGGAAATTTAATATCTTCTGAGGATGACACAAAATAATTATGTCGCGACTCGTTTGAATGCATCCCATCTACTTTATTGGACTGACAGGATGCACCAATAGGATGCCATCTGTTTGACCTTTGAGTTTCATTGCTAGTCGTCGGGTCTAATTTGAATTTCTGCTATCATTAGAGTGGTAAGAGATTGTTGCTGGTGTGTTTGGACTCACTACTGATTTAGGAGTTGCAGTTTTTTCCTTAACTTCTATAAAATTTTTGTTCTCTATGTTATTCTTGTTTCTATTGTATGGGTCTATTAACATTCCAGGTATTATACATTTTTCCCCACATAGCAATTCGAGTTGTCATTTATTTTAATAGCAAGTATTTAATTTGATCACTTTTTATGACGGCTTAGTATGAATCTATACTTCGCGAGTGCCATGATTTATGTCTGTAATTAACTCTAATTTAATGAATTTCTCACCAAAGTATTGCATACTCAAATTATAAGCATTTTAAGCTAGTGGATTTTGGTTTGGATTACATGATAGCATTACTATTCAAGAATTCAGATTCATACTTTTACTAATCTAATTTTTGAGAAAACCCAAACATTTTTTAACTTGGGGGATTAGAGACAATACCGGATTATTGAGTTGCGCAATAAATCACTGCTATTCGATAAGTTAATCTCACTGTTAGTATTGACATGTATAGCTCTCTTCATATAATACGAGTTTACAAGACATATCAAATTGCATTTATTTATTTTACTAAGCTCTCGTTGGTTAGATGTGACTCAGGGGATTTAATGTTGCTCTGCTTTTGTAGTCTTCAGTCCTTCAGCCCACTGAAATGAAAACGCTGCTTGGTGAATCGAGCGCCTCAAAAGATAATTTTTACGAGTTACTTGGTGTTAACAAAGATTCATCGGTTCGTTGAAGCTGCTTACCTAACCTTAAGTAGGAAGACCAGATTCTCTCTGAATTTCGTACGAAAGCTCGAGAGCTTCATCCGGATAAAAATCCAGAACCAGATTCAGGTAACTGTTTAAACAGTCTTAAACTTCTCAATAGCTTCGTTTTTTCAAAAAATTCAGAAAGCTAGAGAAGTTTTGACTAACCGAAACCTTCGCCACCTCTATGATGTCTGGTTGTCAAGTGACTTACCTGTTTCCTTCGAACAATATCTTGGTTCACATCAGAACTTCGAAGAAGTATTTCTAATCCATTTTCTTAATATATAGTGTATGCACTGGTATTTGAATTCTGACCAAGGCCCTCGAATGTTGGATAGTGCTTCAGAATCTGGTTCGTCGGTACATTATATTTATTCACTTTTTCATTGTAGATGGTCGCTTCACGGAGAAAAACAGCTCTGACAAGCTTTCTAATATTTTGAGACTCTTTCGTGAATATGAAATCTGAGTACAAGGCATAAGTAAACTCGCTCATAACATTTTATTTCATTTTAATATTATTCTTTCATTATTTCTAGTCAAATTTCGCAAATTTCATGCTTTGACGTAATCTCCCATATCGCCTTGGATTTTCATCAAGTTCATCATACCTCAGTGTTGTGCACTTTCAGTTGTGTTTCATTCACAAGTTTTTCCTTTAAAGATCAAATCTTAATCTTTTTAGAGAATTCCTAAAATATATAATAATAATAATAGTCTTGATTTTTTTGCGAGTCGAGATTACAATACGCGGTGTAATTCAAAACTCGATTTCGTAAAACATAGTTGTCGAATAACATGACCTCTAATTTTTTTATTTAGATTGTCACAACCGTCACTATACTGCATTTATTTATTCAAGGAGTTATAGTAGACTTATCGAGTTAGTTAGAGGATGTACTGCATAATTCAAGTCATCCTACTTTTTGCATATTTTGTACACTGCTACTGTTCCACCGAACCGATCGGTAATTTTTGCTGGTTATCATAAAAGTACAGTTTATCAAGTATTAATTTTTTCTGGAAGACCTTATGTGGAAATGTAACTACTTCCAAGTGTTTGTTAACCAGCTATTCTTATTTAGCGTTTTATATTGATGGTGTTTAGTAGTGTAGTTATGTGTTTATTTGGGTCACAATTTTTACGCAGGCATTTTCACATCGTGTTCTTTTCTTTTTACTACTAAAGATGATAACTACATCAATATATGATTTTACGAATTCGGGGATGCTTTTATTGCACCAACTTATATACTAGTATTAGAGACTGTTGAGAAATTCAGTAGTGATCACACCATATCTTCCCTTTTCCTTTACCTGAATAATGAAGGTATGCTAAAGCAATAACGGAAAGTAAATTCATTGGAATACATTCGGTCAGTTTCAACCTGTGTCATCTGATCTTCAGATATAAAATACAATTGTCCTGTGGGTCGCACTAAGGAATCCAAGACTGTCTACTAATGGCTTTATGTATTAGGGTTGTAGAATTTTATGACCATCGTTAAACTTTTTCCAACATATCTTTAAGCTATTGAGGCTTTTATAAGTGACGAGAATAGTAGGCACCGATCTACCATATGGTTTTTAAATAATAATGAAAATGCTGTGTTTGATTCGTTAGTGTTTGGTCCATGGGAAAATTTTGAAAATCAAGGCTCCATTAAGAAAAAGGTTAGAATTTCTTGCGATAGGCTTCTGTTTATATCTAATTTTTTAAGAGCACATTATTAGTCACCATTGTTGTAGTTTTAAAACGCCTACCTAGACTAAGTAATGCTTCGAAACACCATTGTTTACTTTATCGCTCATAAATTACCTTGAAGGCTACTAAACATTGATGTGGCACTTAAGCACTATGGTTTAGATATAAAGCGCTTCCAAGTTCTTGAACATTTAAGTGGTAAAGGAGAAAATCCCTATTGTTCTAGATTTCCGCAACATATTTATCCACAGTGTAGATTAGGGACAACGTTTTGAAATATTTTGTACTGAAGATTTCTCACTATCGAAAGTAATGCGTAGAATAAAGCGATTGTTATTACTAAATCACACCATATCCGGTTTTCTTCATAAATATTTTATACTTTCGTTAACATGATGTATATTTTGGTCCTACACGTTGCATACTGTTAGTATCTCTTGCAAAATAAGATTCGATTACTTATTAATACTGTAATATATTTCGATAAAAAAGTTATGGGGAAACAAAACCGATCAGAAAATAGCAAATAATGCGCTCTTTTCTATTAACAGAGAATGGGGTTGTTTAGTTTTCATTGGTTTTTTACTATAGTACGTTTGTGGATGAGCTTTCCTAAGGACTAGTGTTAGCTGAAGAAATATCTTTGGAAATTTTGGAAGTTCTGTGCGGTCTTTATCATTCTTGCTTTGCAAAACTTCTACATCTGATTTTAATGAAGCCGTGAAAATCACATTCAGACTAACATAAATATCATAATAACTGAACACTATATTCGACAAGCCTCCACAACCGTACAGCATAGCGTTGGTTAATGTTTCGTGATCGGTCGTGACGTGAACCTCGCACTGGTACATCCCTAACCGAAAATGAAAAGCGTGGTCCCGGATTCGTACGAAGAGCATCAGTTCCCTCTACATTTCGGAAATGCCTCACTAACGTCTCAGTTGGTACGAAAGTTTGTTACAAAGCTCCCTGCTGACTAGTCCCAGCCTCCTAACAATTATAAAAATCTTTACAATCTGTCAGTTTAAACAGATGGATTTATTAGATTGCACATCACTAAATAATTTCATGAACTTACTACTACCTTATGGTACATATAATCTTATACAATGGTGAACTGTCAGTATATGTGAAATAATCTCAAATGCAAGGACTTTCCTGCTTCTCATTAAGTTTTGTGTTACTTCATTTGTCACAGTTGAAATTCTGCGTACTATCCTGTACGTTAGGTTTTCCGGTGTTGAACTTTAATTATAAAACTATTATTAAATAAACTTAGGGACGGTTGGCAAAGAGGAAAATGTGTTATGACCTATTGGATTACGAATTTGCTGAAACCACCTAACATAAATGAAACTTTTAGTTAATAAAAGTGCTAGTAAGTGACTGATAAACAACAACTATTACTTTAGACTGATGATATGCTCTGAAAAATCTTTAATCCATCAATTCGGTTAATGTAAAGATAAAGTCGTTTTGATTATCTTTGAACTCTTGCCATGCTTGTTTTTCCAATAGTTAGAGACAAATAGTTAGCTCACAATGGTGATCAATGTCACATGTCTCAAGTACTTAGTGATAATCTAATTCTATCGACTAACTTGCACTAGGATAACTAATCTAGGTACTCGACGTCGCGTACACTATGTTCAAATGCAAAGTGGTATTTTTTAGCAGTCAATAAAAGTCAATTAGTACTAAGAAGAAATTGGTCACTACGCAATGATCGATCAGTTGTAAATACATCTCAGCCCTATAAGATATCGGTCGCTGACTCTACAGCTGAGTGGCAACGACTCTGGCTGTGAAGCTGGGGGACATAGGACTGAATCTACCAAGCAACATCAGTCCCTATAAGATTACAGGTACACCTTGTTAACGAGTGCCAAATAGAATGAAACCTAGGTCCAAGGTTTCCTGTATTTTACCTCCAAACACCACCTTACAAGTTGGTAAACCGCATGGCTGAAAATCGTTGAGATTTTATTCCCAACATTAATCATCAAAGCTTAAGCGAAAACTGGAAAAATTCATTATGAGATCTTGTGACTCCATGTGAAACTATACTGGTTTTGATGCTGCGTGAGACATCCAGTTTGGGGAAAAATTTCCGTATTTTTATTTATTATTAACCAATTTGAAATGAAAATAAGAATTACTCGATCAGGTCTACATATTTATCAGTATATTTTAGCAAAATTTCCAACAAGAATTTAGTCGATGATGTAGTTAAAGTAAATCCCGAAATTGTGTATAACTGGATCCCAAGTAAGTATTGCTTTATACTTTTTGTGTAATCATGAATGGAGACATCGAGTTACAAAGTAGCGTAAACTAATTGTCCGATGAGATATACACTTATCAGGGTGATTTCAATTTGTTTGAAAAACCTTTCTGCATTGATAACAAATCTTAAAAAACCACTTGACTGAATAATAAGTCATTCGTTTGGTAAAACCTAAAAAATAGCAGTCATTATATCCTCACAGTGTTTTCAAATGTCTCACAAATCATCTTAGTAAATTTTTAAAAAAACAGTCAAGGAGAAGAAATAAATTTTACTTTATATCTGTTATGATATGTTATGAAAAATGAGGTAAATAGTAAAGGAATTTTTTCTACTTTGAAAAAAGTCTAAACATTTCTAACATGCTTAAAACATTTTATCTCATTTACTTTCAGTTTGTGCGTCTGGATATGCTTTTTTCTATATAATACTTAACATATTGAAATCTAATAAATCTTTACATGTCCTATTTGATTTTATGCATGTTATTACAAGCGTCGTCTCTTCATCCACCTCTCCTTAAATTTGACGAGAAATTTATCTAACCCTTTAAAAAAAAACATCTTGAGTGTCATTAAATAAAAGATGTTTTTAACGAAACTAAAATTCTCAACATCCCGCATTATGTGATTACAAAATTAAGCATATAGTGAAAGGAAGGATGAAGCAACTTATGACATATACGCACTTATAGAAACAGAATAGTGGTTTAAGATCGGTTTTTTCTAACAGAAACGAAATGATTATTTTAAAATTTGATTCTAAATTTCTTGTGAAGTGGTAAGTGTACCTTAGACATCGAAGTAGATGTTTCTAAGATTTATAGTCTACGTATTAATATATCAGGTCCGTATCTATGTACGCTGTTGTGAGCTCGTATGTTACTTTGGTATCACGAAAGTAGCAGATAACACAGAGCTCAAACCAGGAATCCAGTGGATAAAAACCAATTATTTTAACGATTAAGACTTCGTTTCATCAGGGATGATGGTGCTTGAATTGTGCCGAACTTACTGAAAATAGAATCGCATCATCGATGACGTTTTAGATTTTCATCTGAAATGGATGAATTAATTAACCACTATAAAACATATCTTAAGCTTTTTTTTGAATTCAGAACGACACACAAATCAAATCTATTTATTCGAAAACAAATTAAAAATTTTTTGAATCCTAATCCAGACAGTTTAACATGTACTGTATGCTGCTGAAAATGCCATTTAAATCTATATTTTTTGTTAATATACAGTCTGGTTTACGATTAAAATCAACAATATGATAGGCACCATTTGTTGCTCTCGGAATATGTTATATGACGTTGATTGGTAAATAGATTTTACCTTCATTGCAAAATAAATGAATCATTTAATCAGGTCTACTAGTTATTGATTTTGGTTTTTGCTTACTTTAGTTATTTC